ATTTTCCAGTTAAGAGTATTGGAGTGGGTTGCATACATAAGCATATATACACATATACACACACACGCACACATGTGGTTTCTGCCATTCTTAACTACTAGGGTAACCTTCTTCACAGCCTTGTGTTTTTTTAAAGGTACTTAAAAAAAATTTATCTGGCTGCATTGGGTCTCAGTGTTGCCACCCAGGCTTAGCTGCCCCAAGGCATGTGGAATCTTCCCGGACCAGGGATCAAACCCACATCCCATGAGTGCAAGGTGGATTCTTTACCATTGGGCCACCAGGGAAGACCCATGACTTTGTTTTTAGGAAAAAAACTTTGGATCTCAGTGAAAAGGACCACTGTGGAGATACATAGATGGGGAAACCGTTCTCTTACGCTTTTACTTCTGACAGTCTTGACTCTGTTTCCTTGGGAAGCCTTCTGGTGTTCTGAGTAGCATACTTATCCCAGCTTCCCAGATTCCAGCTCTCTGTTCCCACTAGTGTGTGATGGAAGGAGAATCCCTATAACATATTTGGAGTGATCAGTGAATAAAGGCCCAGTGCCATTTTGAGCGTTGGTTTGCCATTTGTGCAGGAGTTATAAATCTCACCCAAACATGGACACGACTGAAGCTGCTGGGGTCGTATGCCATCTCACCATCAGAGCACCAGCCCCTCACTGTCAGTCTGTACTCTGGGGACTGGTGTTGGGATTCCGACTCCTTGAGGAAATGCCAAGAAGGGGGACAAAGAAACCCTGACAAGGTGCGGGCAGTACCTCAATGGGGATCCATCTCTAATGACAAATATACAGGGTGGCCATCAAGCCTGGGGATACCAGTCAATAAATGGCTTATTGACATTACAACATATGCAAATAATGTTAAGCATGGTTTCAGACTTGATGGCTTCTTTGGAGTTTTCCAGTTGGAACAAGTGCCTTTGGGGCTGAACACAAAGTTGCATTGTGTCTAAGTGATGGTTGGTTAAGATTTTTGACTTTTGGTAAAGCAATAGAAGTGGAATTTTCTTCTCCACCCATGGAGGTGCAAATATTGTCTGCTGGTCATTCCTCAGAGTGCAATACTTGACAGTAGGAGTGGAAACTCTACAAGTCTGAGCCAATTGCAACTAAGGTTTGCCTAATTCTAGAGCTCGTATTTTATTTCTCTGCACCATGCTTTGTTGGTAACCGGAAGAATTCATGCTGGACCTCAAGTCACCCACATTATAATCAAGGAGTTGTTTGAGTATTAATAGACTCTGACTCATGCAGTTAAAAAACATCCTCCTGAATTGTCTTGTTCTAAAGGAAGTAAAAGCTGTATTTAACAAACTAATAAGAGAAAGTCCTTGAATCACTTCAACCCCTCCACATCTCAGTGTCCCACTCCAAAGCTTCAGAAAGGACACTTTAAACTGTTAAAGTGGTCAGGAGGGATGAGATCCTCTCCAGAAGATAAATGGTAATGTTCTGAGACTCTTAAAGCATTTTGACAATCAATGTTCATTTCTTCTGCAATGTCATCTCTGCAGCATATCTTCTACTGAAGTTCAAGTTAGAAACTCCTATAGAAAGCCTGTGAATGAATGGATAAAGAGAATATTCTTTCTTTTTTCCTTCCTTCTCCCTCCCTTCTTTCCTTTCATCCCTCATTTCTTTCTCCCTTTCTCTCTCTCTCTCCACACAGAAACAGACACACAGAAACACTGGAATATTATTCAGGTTTGAAAATGAAGAAAATCTTGCCATTTGCAATAACATGGATGCATGTGGAGGGTATTACACTCAGTGAAATAAGCCAGAAAGAGAAAGACAAGTCCACTTATATGTGGACTGTTTTTTTTTTAAAAAGCTGTACCAATAGACCCAGAGTAGAGAGGTGGTTGTCAGGAGTTAGGGATGTGGTGGAGAACAGGGTAAATGTTGGCCAAAGGGTAAAAATACTCATTATAAGATGAATAGGTTCTGAGATTTTAATGTAAACATGATGACTATAGTTAACATTAATTATTGTATATTTGAAATTCACTGAGAGTAGGTCTTAAGCATTCTCATAAAAAGATTACTATGTGAAGTGATGGATGTGTTCATTAGCTTGATTGTGATCATCATTTAAAAATGTTTAAGTAGGGTCTTCCCTGGTGCTCCAGTAGTTGAGAGTCTGCTTGCCAGTGCAAGGTACACGGGTTAGATCCTTGGTTTGGGAATCAAGATCCCACATGCCGTGGAGCAACTACCCTGCCTGCCACAAGTACTGCAGCTTGCGTGCTCTAGAGCCCATCCTCATCAACAGGACAAGCCACCAAAGTGAGAAGCCAGCGCACAAAAACCAGAGAGAGCCTGTGTGCAGCAGCGAAGAGCCCACGAGCCTCAACAGAGACTCAGTGGCTCTTAATTTTATTGATCCATTTAATCTTAACACAAATTTAAAGGAAGAGAGAAAGTCAGTGGAAGGTTTTGCTACTTACACTTGATTTTGATAAGTCATAAACTTGCAGAGGCCTCAGAGCTGATCTAATCCAACTTCCTCATTTCATAGACAACCAATCCAAGGAACGTCTCTAATGGGCAGCCACAGACAAGAGAGGGACCCCAGAGAGACCCATTCATCACTGTATTTCCGGGACTTACCACAGTATCTGACACATGGTAGAACTGAACATATTATTTATTGACTGACCTACTGATTGACTGACAGAGTTCACAGACCTCATCAGATGCAGAGCTGGTATGAGATACTGGGTCTTCTGGGTTTCGGGCCCATTGCCTCCTTGAAACCAGTCAACACATTATCACAATTCAACCTAGTTTTCAGGGCAAGACTCTTAAGCATCTGGATTAACAGCTGAGAAGCATCTGTAGCCTTTCCCATCTACGAAAGGCTGATCAAAGGGAACCCTGGTGGGAAGTGGTGGACTCCTTTCTCTATGGTCCCTCTTGGAAGAAACATCTGTATCTCTGTAGAAGAGGAGGTAATAGCAAAGAGGACATCTCCAGTCTCTTTCCATCGGCCTACCTGGTCTTAGGGCTTATGATGGTGAGGTTTTTCATTATATATGCATGTGTGCTAAATCACTTCAGTTGTGTCCAACTCTTTGAGACCCTTTGGATTGTAGACCACCAGGCTCCTCTGTCCATGGGATTATTCAGGTAAGAATACTGGAGTGGGCTGCCATTTCCTCCTCCAGGGGATCTTCTCCATCTGGGATCAACCTGCGTCTCCTACATTGGCAGGCGGATTCCTTACTACTGAGCTACCAGGGAAGCCCTCTCACTGTACACCTCATGGCAAAGCACCTCACTGCTTTGACCAGGCCCTGGTCATGGTTGGTTCCAGAGGTGGGACCCTGAAGGCCTGCCCAGGGGGCACACCTGCCCACCCAGAGTGTGATGTCAGTCTCAGTCTTGAAATGACCAGGGTTGCTTCAGTGGGACAGGATCGTATTTAGGAAAAGTGCTTCTATGCCCTCATCATAATTAGGGGACTTCCCAGCCTCTCCCAATGTCAACAGACTTCTGCCTGAAACCTGAATAAAGTCAGGCACATAGTGTTGGTCACGGCCAGCTTCTATTGTAATAAAGAGGGAGCCTCCAACTCCTGCCTGTACCCAGACTGGTCTTGGGAACCAGCAGGCAGGCTGAGCCTACAGTGGAGGGTGTGCAAGGGGGTGCGGGTTGCTGTCTTTGTTGACTTTAACCCAGACTAACACGCCCAAGCATCACACGTGCAACAGGTAGACCATATGACCAAGGTATGTGTTCACAGGGAGAGTCTTCCAGTCTGTTTTCAACAATACTCTTCTTCTCTTAAAAGACAAGGCACAAGCCATGGAGATTTCTGCCCATGAGTCCTCTCTTTACTGCCTTTGCTGTGGTTGTGGGAGGATGTGATGCTTGGAGGATCTGCAAACATTTTGCAACCTTGAAGGGAGCTTTGACAACACTGAGGTTTTATCCCACAGCCACAGACAGTCTAGTTCTAAAGTCCTTGACCTCAATAACTTATCCCCCTTTGATTAAATCTCTATTTGTCAGATATACTGACCAAAGCCAAGAGCACTTGTCACACACCCATGAAGACACCCTTGGCTGCCCTTCCTGTTGACCTTAGGATAAAATTAAAGTGAAAGCTACTCAGTCATATCTGACTCTTTGTCAATTCTCCAGGACACAATACCGGTGTGGGTAGCCGGTCCCTTTACAAGGGATCTTCCCAACCCAGGGATCGAACCTGAGTCTTCAGTATTGCAGGTGAGTTCCTCACCAGCTGAAAACCCAGAGAAGCCCAACAATACTGGATCTTCCCCACCCAGGAATGGAACCGGGTTCTCTTGCATTGCAGGCAGATTCTTTACCAGCTGAGTTACTGAGACCTCTTAAAATGGTTGAGAAGGCCCTGCAGGTTCTGGCTGGTCCCAGGGTGCAGCCTGCCTGTCACCACATTCCAGCCGAGACCTCACCAACTGCCGTGGGACCACATCCCGAATTCTGCACATGGCCATCTATCCTCCAGGCTCTCCATTCCACCTCCAGAATCTAACGTCTTACTTTTCAGGTAACAACTTAGACATCTGTACCCTGGAAAGTCTTCTCCAGCACCCCAGATTGCACAAACTGTTGGTTTTCTATCACCCCAACCACGCTGGTTTGATTCATCTCAGAGTATATTGTACTGTGTTGAAACTGTCTATGTATTATCTCTCCCACTGCACTGTCATCTTCCTGAAGGTAAGCACTACATTCATCATGTTCCTTGCTGTATCCCCAGAAGAACATTGGTTATACAAATTTGTTGAACAAATAATGAAAAGGAAGTATATCTAGAATAGAATGAAACTAGCAGGTTTATTGGCTTTATGGGAGAACTAATGGGCATAAATCTTCATGAAATAAGTCAAAGAACTCCACCTTGCAACATACACGATTGACTGTAAAGGATAGATAGGGCACTTTTGGTCTTTTCCATCAAGCCCACCAAAGGCCCAGGATTAGGGAGAAGATCCCAAGTTACCTGATAGTTTTGATCATGCTGAGGCCCATTTCAACGCAGCAGTGGGCATGGTCCTGCCGGGGCTCAGGAAGTCCTGAAACGCAGTAGTAGCAGTCCCCCAGAATTTTAATACGAAGGCAATGATGCTCCTGAAAAGCATAATGTGGGAAAGGATTGAGTCAGCAGATAGGTAAGTGCTTCCGAAAAGCCTGGGAAAGAGGGAAGCTGGGTCAAGAGGCCTGCACCTTGGAATCAGGGGCTCCTACTTTTGAAAAGCTGCTATCATCTTCCCAGGAAATTAGGGGATGTTTGAAGGTATCAGGGGCAGAATGGAGTCATGGAAAAACAGTGGATTTTGAGCCTGACAGATACACAGTCATAGCCTGGCTCTAATCTCAATACCTACTGTATGGATGGACTTGGCAGAGTGGGCATTCAACATGGGTATTCAGTGTTCCCCTACGAGTCCTGCTCCCACTATACATTTCTTTTCAGGACATGTCCTTGGACTGGTAGTTTTTGTTGTTGTTGTTGTTGCTAGCTCAAAACAAGCACTTAAATATATAAATCACTTAAAGATACCAGCCTTTTCAACTCTATATAAAGTCCTTTCCCAACTAGGGTACTGGCACCTTAATAAGAGGGACTGACTATGTCTAATACATACTTCCATTCATTTATTAATTCATATGCTTGTTCATTGATAAAAACATCAGCTGAGCACCCATCTATCATAAGGTAACCATTGTCCCTGACACAAAGGTGATTAATAATAGCCCCTAGGATGCACCATGAACTTCCCTGGTGGCTCAGTGGTAAAGAGTCTGCCTGCCAAAGTAGGAAACTTGGGTTTGATCCCTGGGTCGGGAAGATCCCCTGGAGGAGGGTATGGCAACCCACTCCAGTATTCTTGCCTGGACAATCCCATAGACAGAGGAGCCTGGTGGGCTATAGTCCATGGGGTCGCAAAGAGTCAGACATGACTTAGCAACTAGTCTGCCTGCCAAAGTAGGAAACTTGGGTTTGATCCCTGGGTCGGGAAGATCCCCTGGAGGAGGGTATGGCAACCCACTCCAGTATTCTTGCCTGGACAATCCCATAGACAGAGGAGCCTGGTGGGCTACAGTCCATGGGGTCGCAAAGAGTCAGACATGACTTAGCAACTAAAGAACAACAATATGCATCATATATTAAATGGAATGAATCTCACGACAACCTTGAGGTGGGTACAGTTTTTATCCTCATCACTTCACCAGTGAGAAGCAGGACACAGCTGTTTGGTGGATTCACATTCTTGAAGATATGATTCTTACAAAGTTTCAAAGAACAACAGGCATCTAGGAAACTGTGCATCTTTTCATACTGAACTGGAATAGGCTGGATTTTGCAGATTTTAGAGGACAGAGAACTTGGAACAGTATAGCATCGGGAGAAAGAGTGCTGGCAGAGGAACTCCTCTGTAGCAGATCAAATCCTAGACCCCCACCTCATCTTTACTGTGTGTCTTTAGGTAAATTACTTAACCTCTGAGCCTCTGTTGCCTCATCTATAAAAAGAGGATAAGTCTAGACCTCAGGGATGCCCCTGGTCATCACATGGTTGAAACTCTGTACTTCCAATGCAAGGGGCATGGGTTCAATTCCTGGTTAGGGAACTAAGATTCCATAGGCAATGTGGTCAAAAAGTTTAAAAACAAATAAAATAAAATTAGGTCTTTAAGAAAAAAAAAAGAATAGGACCTCACTGTGTGACTGTAAAGATGAAGGAAGATGATGTGTGTGAAGGTTTAGTATAAGGTCAAGCAGATGGGGCACTAAAAATACTGCCCGTCTCTGTGATGGGGACTTGGACTCCTGTCCTAGTCCTTCCACATCTCTATCTGTGACCAGAGCAGAGTCCCTCTAGATCTCCTTGGGCTAGATGCCTGGGACTCAATGACCTGTGAGGTGTTCTCTAGATTTGATGCCCTGGGAGCCTATGAGTCTAGGGCTTTGTGGGTGAGCGGCTCTCCTTGGGAAACCAGAGTCCAAGGGCAGGAGGAGGGGGACTGCAGGCACCAAGGGGCCTGCTGAGATGCCAGGAGCACACCGATGCCCTGGTACTGCAGGCTCTAAAGCACCATGCTGGCTTCCTAAGCGGAAGAGCAGTTGGGACATCATGTTTGGGTAACGAGTGAAATCACTCTCCCAATAAAAAAAACAAATACCAGACAGGGAAAAGAGAACCAGAACTGGCTCTGGTGTTTCCCTGTCTGCATCAGATCTCCAGGGTCTTGCCAACCTTCCCAAATGGGAACAGATGCGATCTTCAGAATGCTGATAGCGTGCACAGCATCCCGCGGTTATTTTTAGGAGCATGTAGTTTCTAATCTATTGGCGACTCCAGTGCCACTAATTTTGCAAGACAACAAAAAGGGAAACTCAAGACCTTTGCCTGTTTCTTCTAACATACTCGAGACTGTGATGGCCAGAATGGGACTAGACAGACCTAGCCCACTGGTTCTGGCAGTTTCTAGATTTGTGTAGTCCATGGGACAGTTATATATATATATAATATATATACATATATACATATACATACATATGTATACATATACATACATATACATATATACATATATATATGTATATATTATATATACATATATATATATGTAAAACGACCATTGGGCCCAAGGGACTGCACCAAGGTTCACTTTTGTGTTTTGCCAAGGAAGTATGAAAAATGTCCATCGACATACAAAAATAACAACCCAACTATCCCACTATTCCCATCACTTTATAAAAGAAAAGGCATTTTTAACCCACTTCACTATGTATAATAGGTTCTAGGTTCATCCACCTCATCAGAACTAACTCAAATGCATTCATTTTTATGGCTGAGTAATATCCCATTATGTATATATGTACCACAACTCTTTTATCCATCGATGGACATCCAGGTTGCTTCCATGTTCCAGCTATTGCAAATAGTGCATTGAACAACGGGATACATGTATCTTTTTCAACCCTGGTTTCCTCGGGGTATATGCCTAGGAGTGGGATTGCTGGGTCATATGGTGGTTTTATTCCTAGTTTTTTAAGGAATCTCCATACCGTCTTCCATAGTGGCTGTATCAATTTACATTCCCACCAACAGTACAAGAGTGTTCCCTTTTCTCTACACCCTCTCCAGCATTTATTGTCTGTAGACTTTTTGATAATGGCCATTCTGACTGGTGTCAGGTGATATCTCATTGTGGTTTTGATTTTCATTTCTCTAATCATGAGTGATGTTGAGCATCTTTTCATGTGCTTGCTAGCCATCTGTATGTCTTTTTGGAGAAATGTCTGTTTAGGTCTTTTTCCCACTTTTTGACTGGGTTGTTTGTTTTTCTAGCATTGAGTTGTATGAGCTGTTTGTATATTTTGGAAATTAATCCTTCGTCAGTTGTTTAAATTGCTATTATTTTCTCCCATTCTGAGGGTTGTCTTTTCACCTTGCTTATAGTTTCCTTTGCTGTGCAAAAGCTTTTAAGTTTAATCAGGTTCCACTTGTTTACTTTTGTTTTTATTTCCATTACTCCAGGAGGTGGGTCATAGAGGATCTTGCTATGAAGTGAGTCAGAAAGAGAAAGATAAATATCATATCCTAATGCACATATATGAAATATAGAGAAATGGTACTGAAGAATTAATTTACAGGGCAGCAATGGAGAAAGGGACATAGAAAATAGACTTATGGATATGGGGAGAGGAGAGGAGAGGGTGAGATGTAAGGAAAGACATGGAAAGTTACATTACCATATGTAAAATAGATAGCCAACGGGAATTGGCTGTATGGCTCAGGAAACAGGGGCTCTGTATCAACCTAGAGGGGCGTGATGGGGAGGGAGATGGGAGGAAGGTTCAGAAGGAGGGGATATATGTGTACCTATGGCTGATTCATGTTGAGGTTTGATAGAAAACAACAAAAGTCTGTAAAGCAATTATCCTTCAATAAATAAATAAATTAAATAAATAAATAAAATTGTGAAGGTCATCATAAAGAAGGAACGAGAAGCTGTCATATCTTCAAGGAGTCTAAAGGAGACATGAGAACTAAATATAGTATCCTGGTTTAAAACTAAGGCAATTTGAATGAAAAATGGACTGTCATTAATAGTAATCTATCAAAATTTGATCACTAATCTCAATGTGTATCATACTAGTGTAAGATTTTCATAATAGGGGAAACTTGCATGTAGGACATATTGGAAATCTGTACTATTTCACAATTTCTTTCTGTAGAGATAAAACTATTTTAAAATAAAAACTACATTCAACTTTTTTTAAGAAAAAAAGGAAAAGGCATTTTTAACACAGAAAAAGTAAAAGGACACATGCTTGGAATAAAGAAAAGTTTTTGGCACTAAATGAAATTAATGATAAAAACTCACTATAATTCTGTATATGTATTACAGATGTGTAGATATACATGCAATTACTGTGCATACATATACTGTATATATTGAGATATATATATATATATGTTGTATACATATAGATATGCACACTACAGAAACATGAGTTTTCATATACATATATGTGTGTGTGTATGTATCTCATAGTGGCCACATGTTAAAATCTGTTTGCAAAGGAGCAAACCCCTCGCTCTTATTTTGAGGAGCACACTGGGGCTGGGGGGCAGTGGCCGGCGACATCAGTCAGGCACCCTTCATGTGCAAATGGTCTTTGGGCGGAGCTGGCAGTGACTCAGGCCACTGGTGACCTGGTGCAGTGGAGACACCTTCCTCCCTGCTGACCATGGGAGGAAGATGGGGAAGGGTGGAGCAGGGAACACTTTGGTCTAAGAATCAGACCTCCATTCTAATCAAATTTACCAGCTGTCTGACCTTCGATAAGTGACTGAAGCTACTGATATGCAGGTTTCAATTTGCCGTATATGACTCCAGTCAAAATGATCCGCTTGTCCTTAACAAATAATAAAGCAAGCATGGCTGCCGGCTAGCAGTGACAATGACAGCTAGCATCTGAAAACAGTCTTCTCCACATTCAACACCACATCTTCTCTCTTCTCCTCTGAGTATCACAACAGCCTTGAACACAGCAGAGCGTGTTTTTAGATATGAAAACTGTGCCACAGGGCAGCTGGCTAAAAATAAAGATAT